GTACCAGCCAGGAGGGGCACGGATCCAACAAACATGTGGTTGCATTCAGCCCTCCCAAGACCCTGTCCACATCCTCGGGAGCAACAGAGTCAAACTCCTCCCATACAACCGTCTCAAGACCTGCTTCCGTCTCCTCCCCCTGGGCCAACCAGTCGGAGTCCAAGCCTTCTCGGATCCGAGCGACTTTGTCATACAGATACATAATATATAAGATTTATCCTTTTGATTTTTTAAAAATTAGGTTATTAAATACTGAAGTTTCTAATCTATTAGGATTGCTTTTTTAAAATATATACAAGAAAATATTTACATTTTTGCGTTTAGTTGAAGATTTGGCCTGGATTCCAATCAAATTCTTCATCAAATGCAACAGCCTCTTTTCTCCATGTAAATTCTGATTCAACATTAGGTTGACAGAATGGAGAAGGAGATATTTTGCTCTTTTTCAATTTCCCCAACCATATAGCTCTCCATAAATCAACCCCAGGGCATTAGGGGAGGATGTCACATCTGGAACCAAACTGCCTCTCCCATTCTTTTTTTATAATTTGGTGAATTAGTTTATAATCCAATTTTGTTTTTTTCCTTTTACCTTAGCTGGTGTCTGTGGTGACCACTGAGCAATCACACTCTTTGAAGGATCAGGCACATTAGGCCAGATGTGTTTCTTAATGCTGGAGAAAAATAATAAAAACTCAAGTAAAAAAATAACAAGTGATATTTAGAATTACACAATACACACACACACACACACGTACATTAGTACCACTGTAGCCCTCCCTCCTTTGCTCAATCAAGAATGACCTGCAGTGTGCTGAATATATGGTGCTGTACAAAGATAGTACCACTAAGGATACTTACGTATCTCGTTTGCTGAAGCAAACTAATACACCCAATAAAGTAAGTAGCAGAAATGCTATGCAGATAGGAACAACTATTGCTTCTATTTCTCCATCCTCTGAAAAAGAAAAACGCAAAAGGAAATCAGCACATTTTCTTCAAATGTTTATTAGTTTACCTAAAAACAATTTAAAAAACCTCTAAAATAACAAATGAATCATACCTATCCTTTTGGATCATACCTATCCTTAACCATAATGTTTAAATTCACATATTGTGCAAAACAAAAGAAACCCCTCCGACAAAAACAAATAAATCACCTGATTTGTGAATTATGTCACATTCCCAGGGTATGTAATATAGAATGAAGTAATGAAATCATCTATACATGACTTTCAAGTGGTCCAAAAAAGGAGGAACTCTAATGGGTACTTAGGAGGCATTTCATCCCAAGCTGATTATTTTAAAAATTGAAATATTTATATACAAAACTTACCAAATCTATTTGTAGAAAATGTAAACTGAGGACCAGCTGTTCCTCCACTTTCTGTGTATGCTGTCATATGCACAACATACAAAGTATTACTTAATAAAGATGATAGTAAGTACTCTGTTTTCGAAGGGTCCACAGCCACAACTAGAAATTAAAAAAAATGGATTGACAATATTTTACATTAAATCTATCCAAACTAGTTTTCTCTAACCTTAATCCAAATAAGAACATTTAGATCTGATCTCAGTATAGTTCATCCTTCATTTCTAATTTTATTAATTCTGTCAAAATATGAGCTGCCTGTAGTTACGCATTGAGATGGTCAGCTCAATATTAATATTACTGCATATCATAACATGCACATACTGTATTGGATGAAATATGATGGCAACTCAGTACCTGTCGGTAATTTGTTCTGGAAGATGTGACGAATACTAAAACTAATGTTCCATACAGTTGGAACCATAACAGAGCTGCTTAGCAGAAGGGATTTAGAACATGACCCTCCTCCCAGATCTGATTGGATTAGATGTAACTGAAGAGAGGCGGTCCCTCAAATAATCTGTCCCATGACATGAAAGGCTTTATAGATCATCACTAGCATTTTGTATTACAAAATGTATTACACCCAGAATAAAACTGGCAACCAAGGCAGCCCACAGAATGGAGGCATACATGCTGATGGAGAGGCTGCTCATGCAGCCACATTTTGCACCAGCTAAAGCTTCTAAATATTATTCAAGGGCAGTCCCATGTAGAGTGCATTCATACAGTAATCTATATGAAAGGTTAACAATTCATGAATAATGTGGCAGGAATACCACAACATAGTACAGGACTGTTTGTCCACAAGAGTCTTTGTGTACAAGAAGCAACTGACAAGTAAGGTTCATCCACAAAAATCTAGATGAATACTAGGTGGAAGCCAGAGTTAGTTTT